TCCGGTTCACAGTTGTGGAGATTCGAAAAAAAGATCTCCCCTCTTCTCTGCGTCGGAGAAATTTTCCGCTGACTTTTCAGATGTTTGTAATTTAACTTTGAAATTTAACGGAGTGCTCCCTCCCAAAGGAAATGAGTCGTTCTCAAGAAAAATTACGAATATAACGCGTTCGTGCAGGGAAGCGCGCGTTGTGGAAATTTCACGATGCCGGGGGAAAGCGCTGAAAAAGCGGGGGGAATTTTTCAAAAAAAAAAAAAAAAAAAAAGAAAAAAGTTGCCGATTCAGGGGAACAATGTTACCTATTAACTTTTCACAGGCCGTGCTTACAGGTTAACGTAACGATTCGTACGCCGACCTGGCATGTAAAACCGCAGCCAGTTGTTTGTTTAACCATTTGTTAAAAAGTCTGCTGGCCAGCTAGTGTGTTCCAACCCGGTAAACAATTTGTTATCTGTCCGCTTGTTTTAAATCTAATCTCTGGGTCGCTGGGAAAATTGTCACGTAACAGCCTAATATCAGCATACTTCTAACGCAACGTGACACGCAATATCAGTATGGTGTTATTAAACGATAAATGGTGTTATTAAATGTTAATTTAATGTTGGTTCCGAGCCTGTCTCTGCTCCAGGATATTGAACATCGTCGCATATATAATTTGATCGCTCGGGTTCACCTAAGTTAAACAAACACCAAAAGTAAAAAAAAAAAGATCTGTCGTTCTTTGACGATTGCAGTATCCTCGACGAGAGTTTCTTTTTTTTTTTTTTTATTGTTATTATTTGAAGAAACGTCGACTAGAAATAACGAAACGAAAGAGACAACCGGTTCACTATTTGCGAGCTCACGAGCACGGAGCCCCGAATTTACAACCGAACCGACGCAATGATACGTCTCCATAAACAAGGATTTGCACGGCAATGTAATCGTTTCGATCCTCGACAAATTCCAGAGGACCTGCTGCAACCGGAATTTATTCGATACCTTTGCAAACGAAACGTCATACGGACACCAGATTAATCTCTCGATCGTACCTTCGGATCGACGGGTATATTCTAATCGAGAAAGGGAAAGAGAGAGAGAGAAACGGTGCAAGATTTTCCCAATAGGTACACGAGATAATTCTAATGCCAACGCGACTCGAAAACGATCGGCGAAGATTTATGACTTTAAGGAGTCGATCAGCGAAGGTGTTTATGATTTTAACGAATTAACGAAAGGAGTCGATGAAAAATGAGCTGAACGAGCGACGTGTTATTACGAATATTCTAACGAGCACGATCTGCTCGAAACTGCAATCTGTGAAACGTTAATGAAACAGAAGACAGAACTGGATGTATCTATTTCGGAGAATAGATAAAGGAATAAAAAAAAAAAAGAGAAAAAACGAGAGGTTTCTGGTTTTTCTTTCTTTTTCGCTAGAGATCCGGTGCGTGTCCTTTGAATATACGGCAGCTGCTTAATTGCCAGCAAGAACCGGCCGATAGGGCAATTAACGATCCGGGGACAGCCGGGGCGGCTCGCGACAATATAAAATCCCATCAGACGGGGCTCGATACGGTGCAATAAACATGGAGAATGTTAATTCCGGCATGTCGGGCACGAAATTAAATTCCATTGGATTTTACAGCCTTTCCGTTCGACCAGATTTTCAAACCCTCCTGCTGCTGCTCCCACCTCTGTTTGCCAACGTTACGTAAATTCTGACTTCTTTTCCCGCGCAACTCTGTCCCTTGTATTTATTTTTCCTTTTTCTTCTTTTTTCTTCTTTTCTTTTTTTGTCGCACACCATCGTCCACTCGTATTAGCTTGCTCGCTTGTTGCAGTGTTTGTTGGCCGTTTAAGTTTGCCGATTACTCTCCGGCAATGCGTGTTTGGCCTCCTCTCGGCTTCGGCTCCAGGGGAATTTCGCGAATTACTGATTGGCGAGAGGAACTCGCAACACGGCCCGTTAATGCTGAATTCTAATTCACTCGAGTCGCCCTTTTCGCTTCCTCGTCGCTAGAACCACCACGTGTCGAATATTTTCTTTTTTTTTTAACTATATTTAAATTACAAATTTCATCGAAGTCGGTGATTAACACTTTGGTACGTATTCTCGTCGAAAACGACAAATTTATCGTTTTTTATCGTCAGAGATTTTACCATCTATAATGCATTTTTAGAGACACGGATGACTTTTTCGTAGAACGCGCAAGCGAAAGCTTTTTACTTTTGGATACATCTGAATCGGTGACTGACACTTCGGTACGTTCTCTCGTTAAAAACAGTCGAAGTGATCAATTTATTATTTTTGTCCGAGATTTTACGAGCGTGAAACAAGGCGTTTTCAAAAACACAAGTGATTTTTTTTTCGTAGAACGTGTTAGTGAAAGCTCCGAGTCCTGTCTCTGACGGGAGTTTCGTGCTTTGACAGTTTTAGCGTTAAAGAAGCGATTAAAAAAAATTGGGATTTCGACCCGTCCATGCTGAAATTTGCAAAACACGACTCACCAAATCGAACAATCGCGTTCCGAATCTTCTCCAAAGCGAGAAATATCGGCTGAACGGCCGAATTTCGAATCGAACTCCCCGAATATCAGTCAAAATATCAAAAATATTCTCGAAAGATACTTCAAGAGAAGAGCAAAAAAATCTCTATTTTCTGCTCTCAACGAGACGCGAGAATTATAGAGGAGCAAGCTGATGATTAAAAATGGAGAACGAATCGCGGAAAATCGTTGGCCGTGTTTCCAGTGCGGGCACACACGTCCAACAGTGCCGGCCGAGCATTTCTATGGTATTATGCAGATCTGTGTTTAATTACGTGTTCGCGGAACACAACGCACGGCTTCAACGTGAATACTCATTAAGCGTGTCGCGCGCGGGGGCCAACGATGATCGATATTAATGACGAATCAATGGTGTAATCCAATATCATCAGTTCGGCAGGCCTCCGGTTATCAAGGTCCAGGAATTAATATGAATTACTGCCGAGCGGGGCGGCGTTGTTTCAATTAAAGTCCAGCCTACCGCGACCTCAAAAACGAGATTCCCCGCGGGGTAATGTGTTCACGAAACACTCGCTCGGTGTATAATTGATAATCTTTTGTTCTTTTGTTCATCTCGTTAGTTTATTTTCCCTTTCTTTTTTTTCACACTGCTCGATCATCTGATAACGGAACAATCGCGACCGAGGCGAGAATATTTCATAACACATTAAATAATTATAATATGTAACATATTACAATATACAGGGTGTTTCTTGTCACGCGACGCACGATTTTTTTCTCCTACTTGCAGCCATCTGACAAAAAGAAGTTTCGAAGAAAAGTTGAACGGTACAAAAGGTGTACAGTAGGTATTAATAAAAAAAAATTTCGAAAACTGTTTGTTTTCATAGCTGAATCAAGGTCACTTTGGGTGAAACAAATAGGAACACATAATTTTTTTCCCACCGTATTGTAGAGAACATCGAGACGAATTCAAAACGCATATTATACGGTATTTTTATTAACATGTTTTTATTTACAGTAGTGGAAATGTGAAATATTTAGCTTCTAATCTGAAGTCAACTATGTTTACACTGTCTTAGAATCAAATACGACGAGAAGTTAAATGTAAGCTAAATGTTCACATTTCCACTACTGTAAATGGAGTAACGTGTTAATAAAAATATCATATAACATGTGTTTTGAATTCGTCTCGATGTTCTCTACAATACAGTGGAAAAAAAATTATGTGTGTTCCTGTTTGTTTCATCCAAACTGACCTTGATTTAGCTATGAAAGCAAACAGTTTTCGAAATTCTTTTTTATTGATACCTACTGTACACCGTTCAACTATTGTTCTAAACTTTTTTTTGTCAAATGGCTGTAAGTCAGGAGAAAAATCGTGCGTCGCGTTACAGGAAACACCCTGTACAATATATGTTATATATTATACATTACAATATATAATTATAATATATAACGTATTACATAATTATTAAATATAACATTTGCACATTTATTAAATATAATTACATAATTAATAATTAGTAAATATATAATTACATATTTATTAAATATAGTTACATAATTAATAATTGATAAATATATAATGAAATAAATAATGCAATTAATACATAACAAATATACTACATAATCGACCGAGTTTCGCTCAACTATGACATTAATTCGAAAGATATTGATTTCTCACTTATAACCGGACGAAATTCTCCGACCGTCGTTCGTCGCCGAAGAAATCAGAGTGACAAGGCTAAGAGGGGCTTTGAAACACACCTAAGAAGGGTTTGAGACACACCTTGCATAGACGCACCGTCGAAGTGACGGCTTAGAGTCGCGAGAGAAACGACACGCCGTCGCGACAGGTCGTTAACTTTGATAAAACGCGTCCAAAGATATTCGCCGTACGTAGATCATGCGTACTAGAACTTGCAATTAAAATCACTGACGCTTGAAACGGTAGGTTTCTAGGCCTCGCCTACCATTTCGAGAAACTCGGGAGCCAAACAGATTTCGCGACGGAAACGTAATCAACGTGGCGATGGCTGTTACGGCTCGTGTGAGAGTCAGTTGCGACGATCGCTGCACGTCAGAGCGGAGCATTCTTCCAAACAAACTTACTTTCAATGATATGTAACACAAAAGGAAAGAAGCACGATGTTACCGTTTATATCCTTTCGGATTCACTTATTCTTACATAAAGAAAATCGGTGGCACATGAAATTCGCGTTGAAGGTGAAACCATGGAAACAAAGGATTTTTAAAGGATCTTCTAGGAACTGTTTGACCCCTTAGATATGATAAGAGTGCTACCTGAAGACTTGTAAATGACAGTCGGCGATGCTATCGAACGAGTCGTCGAATTGTATAATTGTATAATTGAAAACAATATACGTGTAATTCTTGGACTGTTATGATAATTTTCTCGTCGTAAAAAAAAAAAAAAAAGTTTGAAACGTATTTGAAAAAAGAAAAGGTGCGGCAGAGAGAGAATTATGAGTGTTTTGTTGCAGTCCTTGACAAGGCAACGGCCCCGAGAGACGTCGCAAACCAGACCCGAGTCACGAAGCTTCCCACTGAGCGTAATCGACTATATGTCGAGGTCAGAGGCGGCGACGTCCCCGGAAAGCGGCCAGGACGAGGAGGAATCCTTCTTCGACAGGCCGCCGCCACCCCCGCCGCCGCCTCCGCCGCCGCCTTCGCAACAATCGCAACAGTCTCAATTGGAACAGCATAGCATCGGTGACCTGGCGAAGGATGACGAAGACAATGCGAAAGTCGCGGACCTGCTCGATTCAACGGGTGACAGAGAAACGTCCGAGGAATTGGTCAGGTGAGCAGATCAGGTGTTTTTCCTCGCGTTACCAGCAACGTCCAATACCATTTTGGTGCAATTTCACACTTTACTTACTTGTTAGGAAGCCTATTAATCGAGCTTTTTATTTTTGTGTGTTAACACGTGGGCATAAATAATTATAAACGTGTGACAATCTTGTTACGAGCGGTGTTACACAGCATACACGTTGTAATATAATTGTTACAACTGTAACTTGGCATTACACGGCAAAATTCGGTATAATATAGTGACAAATGTGGTAGTTACGTGTAATATGCGTAATACGTCATTATATTGTTTCGAATGATGCTAGAGAATCGTGTAGTAAGTCGTAATATATTGTAATTTGTCATTACTGACTACACTGTTGCATAATTTAGAGAAATATTTAAAAATTCGTTCGTTTCGCGAAGAATATTATTATTACGTACGAATGTTAGTTTACAAGTAATCTATGTTGAGGTTAGTAGCTTGATAAATAGGCCAGAAGCTTTCAGGCCAGCTTCCATCCTCAGCGGAAAATATAATAAAGTGTTTAATTAGGTATTTAATCCTGTTACGTTCTTTCAATCGTTTCTACTTAAAAATTCAACGATTCCTGCCAGTGTTTCACGATATACTTCTTAAAATATAAATCTATGTAATCGAGTTGATCTGTTTGATTTGCAATTAATGGAAGATTCTGCCTCGTAGGTTCGCCTCGCAGAAGGACGACAGGACGACGATGGATGGACAGGTCAGAAGACCTCGTCACATTTCGAGGGACCATTACATTTCAAGGTAAAAATCTCTTTCTTCTTCTATCCCCTTCCCCCCCTCCTCCTCTTTGTTTTTGTTCCGTACGATACAAACACTAGGAAAATCGTGACGTATCGCGACAAATGCCGCGAATTACGCGAAATTTCGACCGGGAATAAAAAGAAGGGGGGAAAAAATGGGTTTCGATCGCCGGCTTCGGATGTAAGGAGTAAAAATAATCCAAACTTCGTCGAGCGCGAAGCGTCATGATCTACAACGAGAAAGAGATTACAGAAAAACGAGTTGGGGCAGGGCGAGGACGACGATGGTGCTACCGGATGACGGGGTGACTCTCAGAAGGGATTTGACCGGTGCTACGAGAATCTCGCCGAGCACCATCGATCGGATATTCGACAACAGTAACAGGCGACAGTACGGCATGGGTATCGTTGGAAGATTCCTGGGGTGAGTTGCTACTAAATATCCCGTCATTCAACCAGTTCAATCCCTTCGAAATCTAATATTTCCCTGCGTTTGATGCGAAGAGAGAAAGAAAAAAGAAAGAAGGAACGCGTGCGTTTTGTTCGTTTTATTCGCGTGATTATTTTAATACACGTGTAACGAAACGTGAAATTATTTGAAGGAAGATAAATTTACAAGACTGTTTTATTATCTGAGCGAGAGACACTGGCAGTAGGTTTGCAACTGATAATCGCGATTGATAAAACTTTTTACCTTTTCCTTTTCACGATCCGTGCAAAATTAACATCTCTGTTTATCCTCCGGAGCGTAGGGAAAACATTCGTGAATTTAAAATACCGAGAAAACAGATGTGAAGGAAAAACTCGACTTATTTTTCAAACTACTCAAGTATAAATTAAGCGGAAACGACCACTGAATTTCAAGAAAATCGGAATGACAACGTTACCCTTTCGTTTCTACGAGCCACTGTTTGTACAGGGTGGTCACTGGAAGACTGAATGATATAAAACAAAAATAACTTTTGCAAACACGTTTTTTAAAAATTTTTTACTATTTCATTTGAAAGTGTAATTAATGGATTTTTTTTCTACAACGTACAAAAAAAAAAAAAAAAGGAAATAAAGGAGATCGATAAACGAACAAGTTGTGACTTTTTCAAAACCTTCAGTTTCTCAGTGGCCACCCTATACAGAAAATATTGCCACTCACCCCATACAATACGAGATTTGAAATGCAACACACGCTCAAATGTACACTTGAAGACGCATTTTTGTTATCCCGTTATGCCGATATTTCGATCCGTTCCCGAGATATGGCATTTTGTGGCAGCAAGCGCGCGGCTCTAGGGGATGGGAATGGCGGAGTGACTGCCAGACGCGGCGTGGCCTAAATTTTTTCCTAGAAATGCGTCTATCCACCGACCGCGAGCGAGACAGAAGTATAAAAGTCGAAAAATTACGGGACAGTCTCTGCACGAGACGACACCACGGTGATTGGCCATCTGATTTTCACAAAACCAAAAATAAGAACGGCCGGTCCGGTTACGATCCTTACGAAGTTTTGAATAATTTCGATACGGGTCTCGCGTGTGATTAAGGAGAAAATTGGATTAACACACCGCAGGGGGAGGAGAAGGATATATATATCGATCACGGTAATTAATTGAACTGAGCGAGCAATTCGTTCGATATCCGGGATTTTATTAAAACGAGACGTTGCACTGTTAATAATTTATGATTAATAAATAATTATAACCACGAGCGTCGAACGTGCAACAGCCTCGCCGTGTTTGGATTGAGATTTGCATTTAAAAATGCTGCGCAACCGGGGAAACGTGTTGCAGCTTACTTTTATAAATAACGCGTCGAATAATCACCGGATGGCGCGTACGCAATGTTCCCCCCACCCAATGTTGAACGTTGAATCCGCGAGTTTACCGAAAATACCTCGCGATATAAATTACGTGGCGATATTTGGTCGTTAAATTTGATAATTCGGTGCGTTTTATTGTTGTTGCTTATAACATAGACAGACGTAAACGGCGTCGCGTGATTGAAAGTAGAGCCTTTGGAAAAAAAAAAAAGAAAAAAAGGAATCGAACGAACGACGAGCCATTTCCCGTCCAGTTTGACATTTTGCGTATTCGCGTTTATCAGATGTCGTCCAGTCATTGTATATATCGATGCGGTTGTTCTTCCGCGTCGGTGAAGAAATTGATTTCGAAACGGCCGGTAAATGAATTTCCACGCGAGTAATTTCATTCGGCCGATATTTTCGTCGAGCCGCGTGAATCCTCCGTCCGATGACAATTTGCCACGATTTCGTGACACGTCGAACAAATCAATAAGATTGGAGAATGAGATGGAAAAATTACGATCGAAGTGAAAAGAGCGTTATATACGTCGTTAAACGTTGACGCACAAAGTGAAGAAAATAAACTCTCTATTACGTGTGACAGATTAGAAAAAAAAAAAAAAGAAAACTACCAAAGTGGAATAATTCTGAAAGAGGGACGAGTACGTCCAAGTTAATTCCACCCAAACTACTAAAATTAACGCCTCAAGATCTCGAAGAGAGGAACGAGTGACAGAAGAGTTGTGAAAGGTGTGAAACGAATGGAAATTTGTTTTCGTTTTATTCTGTGCGTGAGCGTTACCCTGCGAGAATAGGACGATAACTTTATCGAAACAACTTTCTCGCTGGTTCTTCTTCATTCTTTAACGATCGCGCGAAGGTTTTATCATGTATGTACGACCCAGTTTAAGATATACGCGGAACACAAATAACAAACGTGGATAAGCGGCAAACGTCAGGAATGAGAGAGAGGGGGAAAAAAAATACCGTGACGCAAAGCGTCTTCCTGGGGCAGCGTGATATTTAAAAAATGCCAAGAGGGATATAGTTATCGATCACGTGCAGCTTTTGCGGCTACGAAACCTCCTTCTCCCATTTTCCATGAAAAGTTCATTATTTATGGCGGCTTGCACGAGCAATGTAGATGTTATTTTATAATACATATGAGCTCTATTTTTTCTTTTTTTTTTTTTGAGTGTGGCATAAATTTAATTTTGAAAAAAAAATGAGTTCAGTTAAACTAGTTTCAGTTAAACGTGCCTTCTTTTCATGTTTGTTGAAATAACAAAATTAATATTGTTAATTGTTTCAATTGTTATTCTGTCTATTGAAATACATTTCAATTAAAAAAGCCTACTTCAATTAATAATCGATATTGTTCGCGTTTGTCCAGAAATTGATATTGTTCGAAATTTGTTGTTATTGAAAATGGTACAAGTCTATTTGTAGCTAAAAAAAAAAAAAAACCTTTCAGTTTCTCATTTAATTATTATTGCACGATAGAAAAGAATTTAACGTGTACCTCAATGCATGAATAAGTGCACATTTTAAAAAGGAAAAGATCAGATGAAAATAGGATTCTAGAAGAATGCGTAAAGGATACACAAAGGATACCGAGGATACTGTTTCGCGATTGCAGGAGGTCTTTTCGAAAGAGCGTGTCCCAGAAGCCAGACGTGAAAAAACAGCTGGACGACTTCGAGGATCACCGACCGTATTTCACGTATTGGATCACCACCGTGCAAGTTCTCATTTTGATAATATCGTTGGCGTGCTACGGTTTCGGACCTGTCGGCATGGATCTCAGTCACAGATCAGGCCTGGTGAGAGATCTTGATATTCCCGCGGAAGTATCGTCAACTCGACGCGTGACGACGATGGACGATATACGTAATCGCGTGTGTGTGCCAATTCAGGTACTCGTGACCAGCCTGTCGTTGCAACAAGTGGACTACCAGGAACCAGCGAATTTCTGGTTTGGTCCGAGGGCTGCAGACTTGATCCATCTGGGCGCCAAGTTCGCACCGTGTATGCGTCGCGACATCAAGATCCTGAAGGAGATCGACGTCTGGCGGGAAAGAGAACGGGACACCGCGTGCTGCATCAGAAACGACGACTCCGGCTGCGTGCAATCCAGCAAAGCGGACTGCTCTGTGAGTTGTTACTTCGTGTTACTTACCGAAGATGTAAACCAGGAGTCAGAGTATATACTCCTCTCAGAATCGTGTGTTTATAATATAATCTTCTCTTTTGCGAACCAACTGGTCCGGGGACTGAGGTCGACCGCCACGGTAAATGTTTGCGCAACTTTTAACTTGTACTCCCGTGCATATTTATTTGCTTGCGTAAAGATACAATTTACTTAATTTTGCGTTCGTATCGATTTTACATGCATGCATCTACTTGCTCTCGGAGTTGCTTCTTAATTTTAACTCGACGCTCGAAATTCATTTTACTCGTCAGGTGTTTTACGCGCCGCAATGTAGTGTAATAAACGTAGCGATCGTACGCCTTCGGTGAAATACTTCGAACTTAAATTGTTTAATGGTGCTTAAAAAAAAAAAAAAAAAAAAAAAAAAAAAACAAAAAAAAAAA